GCAGATAAACAGATCAACTGCAATGCATGCTGGGAGTCATGAATGAGTTTTGTACTATGTTGATACCCAGCATGCATTTCAGCATAAAATCTTCTTTTGTCGATTGTCACCATTGTTGAGTTTCACACGCTGATTATTGATGGCTAATTGATTCAGCAATTTAATGATTTCCTTTGTAGTATTTTCTGTTAGATCGTAGACGTGTGATAGTTGTACCACTGCTTTAGTATCACAATAAAAACACAACACACTTGTGAATAACTATTTGAACAACCTCAAAAATAATTATCTGATCTTAACGTAGCTTAGTTTTCATTGCGTCAACAAATGTATTTAAGTGCATTGCTAAAAGTGACAACTAAAATCTAACATGAAAATGCAATGATTCAAGAGCCCAGCTAAAGCAAACGCTGGTCACAAAAATTGATTTGTTGAAATTTCAACATTTTTTCAACATTAATTGCGGGTGCAAAAACGGTGTTGATTCAGTGCAATTAACATTGACAAATCAACAATTTTTAACATTGATTCAATGGTTGCTTGATATCAGGGAAGTCATCAATAACTCTACGATTTATTTGATGCAAACAATTATGTAATATTCAAAATATGCTGCTTGTATGGCATGTCTAAGTGTCCTAAAATTGAGACACAGACATTTCTTGTATTTTTACGTTTCTGAACAGCCCTGTCTTCATTATCAGGGGTGGGCAATTCCACCTCTTGAGGTCCACTGTCCTGCACGGTTTAGCTCCATCCCTAAACAATCATATAATGTACTTTATATAATAACATCAGGGCTTGAATTTCTGCGCTGGATTGCGCACGATGACAACATCAACATCCCATCAGTCCTCACCCTCTCATCCACAGATGGCTTGTTATAGTCTTACTGTTTGATCAATAAAAACTGCACGGTACAAAGCTTCACATATTTGTCGTCTCCTAACTAAGACCCAAAAGAGGTAAATATTAAATATCCTATGTGATCGATGGGCAAAAAAAAAGTACAAATAAAGTTTATTTATATTCAGTCACGCTGCACATCCGGACCAGATGTTTAAACACAAATGCTGTTTTCCTCCTACAGCACATCCTGGACTAACATAGTCTCATCACACAAACTCCAGTTAAACAAAAGATTTAATCTGGTCGATTCAGTATCAGTTGATGTTTGATTTTGGTGTTTATCATCTTGGAAAATCAGCTGACTGCCGTGACTCAGAGTCCAGCACATTGTTCTCCAGGACTTTTCTCTTCTTTAATCCATTTTTCTATGAGTGCTCATGGAGGATTTCACCAGAGCTACAGTATTTTCAATTCCCAGTATGTTTCACGTGAAACTGGATGGAAAAAGTAATTGCTCATGTCTTCTAGACTCTAGAGCAGGGGTGGTGAACTCCGGTCCTGGAGAGCCGCAGCCCTGCAGAGTTCAGCTCCAACCCTAATTAAAACTCACCTGCCTGTAGCTTCCTAGTAACCCTTCAGGCCTTGATTAGCTTGTTCAGGTGTGTTTGATTAGGGTTGAAGCAAAACTCTGCAGGGCTGTGGCTCTCCAGGACCGACGTTCGCCACCCCTGCTCTAGAGTCTAGAGCAGTGTTTCTCAACCCTGGTCCTGGGCGCCCCCCAGCACTGCACATTTTGTGTGTCTCCACGCGCGTTGTCTGCACGCTGTAGTTTCACAGGGCTGGTAACACAAAACTTAAACATATAAATGAAAAAAAAAAAAAAGTTATTTTGATTGTAATCAGGCCAGCTCATGATGATTATCACATCACATAAAACCAGTTAATAGACATTCACTGTACAACACCTCGTGTTGCTATAAAGAGGGATGAGTCAAGGGTCAAGAGCCCAACTAAAGCAAACACTGATCTCCATGATGGTGCCATAATTTTAACCAATAAAACATCAACATCTGATCCTCTGTAATTCTCAATAACAGCAGGTGTTCATCACTAATGCACACTCATCATTTAATTAGTCACTTAATTATCTCATTAACTTTAACTCTTTGAGGACTTGGGATATGACTCGAGACTCGTTTGTGATTTGAAAGGAATGACTTGGTTCCTCCTCTGGTGAAATCAGCTGCTGAGTTCATGGGTGGAATAAACATATGGCAGGACTTTTACTTTCTGACCCCTGGATTTTACACCTCTGCTGTACAGTAAAACAAATTAAAATAAATACATCATCCTCTGCCATATTATGACAGTTTTTAGTCTTCTGACAAAAGACTTTCTCTAGCTCCACCAGACAGTCGTCTACCATTGGGTGTGGCATTAGGTTCTGGCAGTGAGGGAGGTGATCACCTAGCGTATGGCAACGAACACCCAGGGTAAACGTCACCCCTGAATTCAACCGTTATGAGTTTGTGGATGTACAACATGTGCTGCAGTATTCATAGAACAGTGAAAGTTCTCTCATCTAAAGTCCCCTTCATTTATCTTTTCCCTTCCTCTTCCACTCCACTTTCTCTTTGTCTCCCACCACTAGGATTCATTTTCCAAAGCACATAATCAGCAGTGAACCTTTTTATATTATCCTGAGATTCTGACTGGTGTCATCAGTTTGGTTCATTCATGTCTGATTGAGAACTGAATAATTGGTTTGGAAAGTTCGGTCAACTGAACCAGTTATAGTGTGTTAGCAATCTTTAAACGTATCTGTCACTGCATGTTTAACTTGCATTATGCATGACAAATGTTGTTTTTTTTTTGTTTTTTTTTAAATGGCATGCAAAATGCGGTTCTTCATAATGTAAATTTCTTCATAAACAGAGGAGGAGCCTGAGAATCTGACAGATATAAACAGTGTTGGTGTGTAAGACTGAATAACACAAACGGTGAGCTACTTCTTTATTCTTCATTTACTTACTGAACATTCAGACATTTATACAACTTTCATAAAATAAATATAATGAAAATGTCTCTATTATTTTCATCTAGATAAAACAGATCTCTGCTGTGATCTACTGAGGAGAGATTGAGAAGATGACAGTAAGTTCATCAATAACTACATTCACAGAGACATTTTAAGCTTCATTACAATGTGATGTTCATCTCTTTTTTATCTTGTGTAGATGTTGGTGTTTTTGGCAGCTATTCTCTCTGTTGTTCTGGTGAGAGGATGCAGTCAGGATAAAGACATGCCAGTCGACTGTTCTGACCTTTATAAATCAGGACAAACAGTCAGTGGGATTTACTCCATCTATCCAGCAGGTGACGTTCCTCAGGGCTGGAAAACATGTACCAGATGACACGTAACAGGAAGTACATGCTGAGAGTGGATCTGGAGGACTTCACAGGAAGGAAAGGTTTTGCTCTGTACTCATCCTTCTCTTTGGGCTGTGAAACTGATGGCTATAAACTACAAATTTCAGGGTTCAAAGATGGAGGAGCAGGTAGGACACATTCATTTATACTCATGAAAAAGGAATTGATAAACTTACACTTTAATAAATGTGTGCTTTCAGATGTTTTCATAATATCACTCCAGTATACATGATGTACATAAGATGTTATTGTCCTCACTGGTGCTCTTCCTCTCTGCAGGTGACTCTTTGTCCTACCATAATGCACAGAAGTTCACCACCTTAGACAAGGATCAAGATTCCTATGATAAAAACTGTGCTAAAATGTTTCTTGGGGCATTTTGGTACTCAGCAGGCTGTCACACTGCAAACCCCAATGGTGTGTATTTATGGGGAGATGACAGCACCCATCACGCCATTGGAGCTGTTTGGCAATCCTGGAAAAACAATTTCTCTTTCAGTCTGAAATCCATCAGCATGAAGATCAGACGTGTGACTTAGACCTATGAAGAAACATTTCATTGTTTCTCAGAAACAAAAAACTAAATCAAATTATGGCTTGAGTGTTTCCTTTACTCTGTTAATTGTGTAACTGTGTGGTGAATCATGTAAGAATATATATGGCTGTTGTGAACTCTCATCGATTATTTTCTTCTTTTTTTCTTTTGGGTCACTTCTTTAAATTTACAATGGATGCAAATCAACAATAAACTTCAATAAACTGCAGCAATGAAAGGCATTATGTGTTAATGTGGATTTTTTCAAATCTCCACAATAGACATTGAAACCATGAATAAAGAATTTAGTTCAACTGCTCATGAACTGATAAACGTTCCACACTTTCCCTATAAATACAACCCTATATTTGTAAAAGAGCCATGTGTACTTTTTCTTACAGATATGCCCACTTATTTTTCAGCAAAAGTTTACGATTTACATCATGTTTTGCACCATCCAGTGGACTTTTGCTGACACACAGTGGTGTAATTCTCATTTAGTATGCAAGAGTACACTGAAAAAAACATTTTTTAGTCGGTTCAACTTACAAATTGTACTTCATCTGGCAACATCTACAATAACTGGTTTTGTTGAAATGAAATAAATGATTTAAAGGGGTCATATGATGCTATTTTAAAGATCATTATTTTGTGTATTTGGTGTAACAGAATATGTTGGCGTGCTTTAATGTTCAAAAAACACATTATTTTTCAAATACTGTACATTATTGTAGGTCCTCTATGCCCCGCCTCTCTCAAACACGTCGTTTTCAACAAAGCCCCTTCCTTTGACAAGCGCAGTCTGCTCTGATTGGCCAGCTGACCCAGTGCATTGTGATTGGCCGAACACTGCAAGCACGCATCGTAAATGTAACGCCCCTTACCATAATCGTGTGCTTCAGCTTTCAAAGTAAATATCAAGACAGTTAATAATGTTGTTAGTTTTACCATCAGTTCAAGACTGAAAGGGCAACAGAGTCACGTGACGGACACAGTGATGATGCAGTAGACAAGCCGTGGTTAAGACAGCTGACGTGCTATGATTTCTGACAGACAGTTCA